GGAGAGAAGCAGGTTGATGGTGCGGAGATAATGGGCAGGGGAGAGAAGGAAGGAAGAGAAGGGAGGAGAGAACGAACGAAAAGAGGACACGGAGAGGAAGATGAGAGTGAGGACACAGAGGACACAGAGGAGGAGGAGGAGGAGGAGAGTGGTGGTGGTGGTGGTGGTGGTGGTGGTGGAGGAGGAGGAGGAGGAGGAGGAAGCTCCTCACATGGTCTCCTTGGTCACTCCAAGTCGATTGAGTAGGGTGAACTCGTTGCTCTGATGTGATTTGAGAGGACTGAGAACTCCGAAGGCGATCTGCCACGAGATGAGTGAATTAGATCATGATTAGCAGAACTGACAGAAGTGGATGTGATGATGGTGATGGTGGTGGTGATGGTGGTGATTGTAGAGATGAGCAGCATAAAGGCTGCGCTTCAGGATGGAGAGGAGGAGCAGACCTGATAGAAAGTGCCGTAGGCGCAGGAGGACATACGCATGTATCGCTGCCAGGTCCTGATAGTCTCGTCTGTGGGACGAGGAATCTTTCTCGGCTCCTCCTTCTTCAGAATCGCCTCCATTGCCCCCTCGTGGAAATAATGTGGACGAACAAGCTGAAGAGAGCAGTCAGGGAAGGAGGGGGGAGGGAGGGGAGGGAGGGGAGGGAGGGGAGGGAGGGGAGGGGATGAGAGGGGGGGAGGGGCTGGTGGGGAGGGGCTGATCTTCACCTTCTGCAAAGAGGCATAGGCTGCGATTCCTTGCGCAAGTTGCATGTACCTAAGGAGGAGGGTGAGGGGGATGGACGGCAGCAGCAGCAGCAGAAGTACGTGATGTCCGTGTAGAGATGTTTGACCTCCAGCTCATGATACATGATGAGCGTTTCCAAGATCGCAGCCCCCTGTTGCGCTTCTTAGTCTCCTCCTCCTCCTACCCCCCACTCTAGCTGGTGCTGCTGGTGCTGGTGCTGCTGCTGCTTTTCCGCATGAACCTCCACCACAAGCTTGTTCCTCTGCACTCTTTCCTTCCGTCGCTGCTCCTCCCCTCCTTCCCTGCTCTCTTCCTGCTCCTCCTGTCTCACCTCAACTCCCAGCAGAATATCGGCCTGTGCTGCAGACAGGACAGTCTGTACTCCGGACAGCATTGCCTGCCCTGCCCCCAGCGTCCCGTCCGCAGCTTTTTCTACCACCGTGATGCCTGAAGGCATGCTGAGTAAGTGGCATATAAAGATGGGCAGGGGAGGGAGGGAGGGAGGGAGGGAGGGAGGATAACGAGCAAGAGAGGAAGAAGGGGGTTTGGGAGGTAGAAGGAGAGGATGAAGACCGCTGGCTGTTGCATTGGAGATTCCGCCTACGATCCAAGTTCCGATGACTGAAGTGAAACCAACCACCTGACCGACGGCTCAGACTAGCAAAACGAAAGTTGGGAGTGGGACTGAGTGAAGGGGCCAACAAGAGGAGCGAAAGGGTGGGAGGAGGAGGAGGTAGAGGAGGAGGAGGAGGAGGAGGAGCAAGAGGAGGAGGGGGGGGGTAGGGCACATTACATACCTTGCCCACGAGCTGCATGGAAGGTTTTCCAACGGTAGCAACTTCAGGAGGGAGGACTTCGCCGAACGACGTCAGACTGCGCAGGATGTCCCTCGTCATGGTCTCGACCCCAGCTCGGACGACGAGGCCTCGTTCAAGCGCCTTATCTCGGTACTGCTGCAGGGCCTCTGAGTTCTTGGACCGCGCCTCGTCTATCGCCAGGCTGCTCCTCGTCGACAGCTCTTGCATCCACCTCGTCCTCCCCTTCCCCCCCTCGCTGGAAGTGCTGTCGTCCTCCGAGATCTGAGCCCCGCAGAGCTTGTGGAGCCCGAGGGGATAGAGTTCATCCAGCTGCTTCTGCCCCTTCTGGTCGAAGGGGAACATGGACGAGGAGTCCCCGGCCTCTCCTTCCCTCTGGTCGTAGTTGCTGTCCTCCTCTGACAAGTTTCCCCCCCCATCCTCCTCTTGCGAGGCAGCCAAGACAGGGACGTGCGGGGGCTTGAAGCGCGCGCGCAACTCGTGACCTCGGATCACGAGCCTCACCGTGTCTGTTCCCTTCCGCACCTGGCAGTATCCTCCCCGTCGTCGGCGGCACACAAACCGATCCTCGTCGATGTCGATCCTCCTCCGCAGGGTCTCAGAGTCCATCTCCGACATCCTCTGCTGCTCCCTCGTCGCATCCTGCTGGATGAAGCCGTCCTCCAGCAGCCTCGCCACCTCCTCATCGAACGGATGGAAGCTCCCGTTGTTCTTCTGGTAGAACCAGGACCCTCGCATGAGCACGAACGGCTCTCCCGTCCGCAACGACGTCATCCTCCTCTTCCTCACCTCGCACCGAAACTCGTCCCCGCGGACCGCCAAGGTCAGGCTCGAGATCCCGCGCACGCAGGCGAGCTCGAGTGCCTTGGAGTCTGTCTCAGGAAGAGGCTCAAGGTACCTCTCGCTTTGCCCCCAGAACCACAAGCCACACCCCGGATGAGGTACGTCTTCCTTCTTCCCTTCCATCTCCTCCTCCTCTCCTTCCCCCTCCCGCTCTTGACCTTCCGGCTCCAACCAGGCCATCAGTGACTTGGCCGCCTCCTGCCCTTCTGAGTATCCTTCGAAGTACCCCTTGGTCAACTCCAACGCCACGTTCTTTCGTTCTCCTCTCCCCCCTTCCTCCTGAAGCACGATCAACGCCCCGTCTGCTCCTGCCCCTGTCTTCGCTCCATCTCCTTGAAGGATCAGCCATGTCCCTCTCAGGACCTGTCTCTTTGTGTCTGTGTTCTGCCGCCTTTGAAACATCCTTCCCTCCTCGTCGGCGCTGACAAACCTGTCGTCGCCGATGGCAACTTCCTCCTTGCACAGCTCCCCTGCTCCCCCACGAGTCTCAAGATGCGACAAATCGCCTCTCGCCTTCTCACCATCCTTGCCAAAGGCCTCCTCGAGCTGAGTCGCAACGTCTGCAGGATATGGCTGCACCATCATGGGTTACGAGACTTGCGCAACAGGTGCCAGAGAGCAAGACCTGAAAGCTTCCATCTGATCGCTGGAAGTGCCATGTTCCTCGCACGACCTCGCGCTCGGTCCCGCTATCACATCGCACTTGCTTCAAGCTCTCGAAGATGACCTTGTACTTTCCCTCATACCTGTCCGATCGGAGGGTTACAACGAGTCAAGGACAGGTCACTGAACTTACATCAGCGCTTCGTCCTTGCCGCTACTGAACTCGGTTTCGATAAGTTCGCTATCCTCCTGGTCATGCTCTCATTCGGTGGCGTGCAGAAGCTGCCGTCCTACCTTGCTGTAACTCTGTAGCCTCCCGTCGTTGCGACGGAAATACCACAGGACCGGCATGAAAACCCTACAAAGACAGTGTAAGCATGCACACACGAGCTTGAAATCACTTTGACAGACCGGTCCTCTTGGTCCTGCATGGCTACTGAAAGATTGAAGTCACACAGAGATACCATCGTTCAACTCAACAGACGCGTAAAGCGCGCAGCAGGTTGTGGATCCACCATGAAAAGAAGTCGAAGATCGGGACAGTTGCGCGAAGAGGAAGAGTTTTACATGTCACTCATCAATTCAACAACAGATTGATGTCAAAGTTTCACATGAACATGCGGGAAGAAACAGTGGAAGGAATGTGGCAGGAAAAAAAAAACATAGCAAACGAGGACTGCTGGAGATGGCCAGTGGCGAGAGGACGAGAGGAGAGCTCAGGATGGAGATGAGGAGGAGGGGAAAAAGAGAGGATGAGATACGGGTAGGTAGGGGCTGAGAGGAGATGGTGGAGGCTCGCTTCAGGGTACCGACGCTTTCCTCGCAACAATGCCATACCTGCGTCTTCCATAGGACGCACACCCCACCCCCCTACCGGGGCTTGCACCCGGAAAATGACCCGTGTCCAGAGGTACTAGGTAGTACCCCTCGCAACTTTCGCCGGATCCTGTCCGGGTGGATCACTTCGGAGTCCGGAGGCCCGGGGCCCGGGCCCGGGGGTGACTGGCACTGAGACAGTCGGCAGAAGTTCTGCCATCGTGCGAAACAAGGTGTTGTTCTGAGGGGGGCCTGTTTGCAGGCACCCCTAGTGCTGTTTCGGCCATCTCCATGAATTTGTATGACCCCTACCCCCTTTTTTATCATGATCATTAAGCTCTGAAGCACGGGTACTAAGAGTACCCTGTTTCGATGGACCCCTTGTTTGACACAGACACGTCACCCCCCTCTCTGATAGGGTAGGGGCACCCCCGCCGGTAATGATGCCGCCCCACCCCACCGGATCCTACCTAGTGACCCCTTCTTTTCTCTTCAAAATGGACCCCTACATCCTTCTACCCTCTGACTTCGACGGTTCACCGGTAGGGTCTACCCTCTTCATCGCCTCACCCCAACATCCTATCAAGCTTGCATTAGATACCGGTTATTCTTCGCTATCATCTACCTCAAAACGACCAAGGGGTGATGGAACTTTAGTACCCCTACCAGTTTTTTCCTCACCCTACCATCTGCCAATCATCGTTTGTCCACCCCCACCTACCATTCGACACCTACCCCACTATCCCCTCTGCCTCATCGACTTCCCGCCGCTCCACGCATGGCGAACGCGCAGGCGGCACCGCCGCTCGCCAAGTACAAGCTTGTCTTCTTGGGAGATCAGAGCGTGGGCAAGACATCGATCATCACGCGCTTCATGTACGACAAATTCGACAGCACGTATCAGGTACCTGCTCACACTGCGCCTGCTGGGCTCGTGGCACCACATAGCTACACCAAATACCTCCTCAACAGTTCTCTTTGCAATGCATGCGTCACAGCTAGCAATCATCTCAGTCTCCGCGATGCCGAACCATTATGGTTCCTTCTACCAAACACTCACGTCCTGATACTTTTGACATGCTCTCACGTTTGAAACCCAGGCGACGATAGGAATTGATTTCCTATCGAAAACTATGTACTTGGATGATAGGGTGGTTCGGTTACAGCTGTGGGATACAGCAGGCCAGGTGCATATCTCATTGAATGTCTTGTGCAAAAGATGTTTGAACGTCCGTTGTCATTATCTCTGACACATTTCGTTGTTCCGCTATACAGGAGCGATTTAGAAGCTTGATACCGAGCTATATCCGCGATTCCTCTGTAGCAGTTATAGTGTATGATGTCACGAACCGAGAATCCTTCGACAATGCAGGTCGACTCACAAGAATCTTGCACTAGAATCTTTCGAATCCTCTCTCTTAAAGCAAGCTTACTCTACATGCTTGTCCATTGCAGTTAGAGGGGGGACTGAAACATTTGTGCGTGAATAGGGAAATGGATAGATGAAGTTCGCCAAGAGAGAGGAGAAGACGTCATTCTGGCTCTGGTGTGTTTACAATTGACAGGATTTTCTCGACATGACTTGAACTTGAAGGTGGGCAACAAAACGGATTTAGCAGAGAAACGTCGTGTCACAAGGGAGGAGGTTTGATTTCAACGAACTTTCACAAAACCATACACAAAATATTGACTTAGAGCAGGGAGAGGAAAAGGCCAAAAGCTTCAAAATTCTGTTCGTCGAGACCAGGTGAGCCCCTCAGGAACGTAGCATCAAAATTCGTCCTGAAAAATTTCCGGCAGCGCTAAAGCTGGTCTGAATGTGAAATCGTTGTTCCGTCAGCTTGCCCAACAGCTTCCTGGTAGACGATTTGTTTCTTGGGTCCTAGTTGCTTGTGATCCTTAGTCACTCTCGAATGACAGGAGCTGAAAATGCTGCGGTCAAGAAGGATTCGGAACTGGTGGAAGTCAAGTTAGACACGCCAAGTCAACAGAAGAACCCATCGGGTGCATGTTCATGTTAATACACATTGATAAGCCTTGTGCTGGTGGGTTTCACTTGCACTGAAGGGTTCTTGGTGGGAGCAGCATCGAACTTTCGATTTTTACTTTGTTACAGTCTGTTCTCTGATGCTTTGATTGTGGTCTGGTACATAAGAGCTCGATAAGCTGCTGCTCTTGAATTGCAGGAAGGGACATGCTTTGATTTGACCCCATGTTGATACTAATCCATCTATGACTCGAGAATTTCCTGCTACAAACACCCTTGCAAACGAAAATCTTTTGTTGATTGTCAGGATGGGATTTTTGTTGTTACTCACATAATCCTCCCCGTCATGTTGTGACGAAGACGTTGATGATTCTCATTCCTACCCTTGCCGTCCATGCACATCGTGATGTTTTCACCATGAGCTTGCCGATTAGACGGTTTCTTAGATCGCGCATAAAATAGGAAATGATGTCACATGTCATCAGATCAACTCACTCTGGTCGAGACGATCTCACATCTCACACTTGTCGAGATGGTCTCACATTCTTCGCTTCATGATCCCCCGTGACTCGCATCATCGTGCAGCAGTACAGGAGCTTTGCCAGCAGGGTGAACTCTCCAGAAAGTAGGGTGGGGTACTGTGACATGGGTGTTGGTGATCAACTGGGGGTACTTGTTTAAGGAAAAATGTGGGTGACAGATAGGAAATGCATACATTTGATGGGGTGGTGGTGGGTGATAGACTTATCATGGAGGGTGGGGTGGTGGATGTGTGGATTCATCGGGGAAGGCAGTCGACGATGCTGCCGCGATGGGAGGATGAGGCGCACGGAGGAGGAGGAGGAGGAGGAGGGGCGAGGAGGAGGAGGGATACCAGCCCGAAGAAGAGGAGAGGCAAGAAGGGGTTCGGCTTTATCTCCTGCTGCATCTCCTGCCTGGTCCTCGTCTGGGTGTCCGCAGCTGGTTACTTCCTTGCTGGCCAGATCATGCGGGGGGACGCACTCAAGGTGTATGGGATGGTCGGGATGGTTCTCCTGGGCCCAGAGACGAAGCTCGGCCATCTATGGCAGGACAAAGTGAGGGGATTCGCAAAAGCTCTGGAGAAGTTGCAGGAGGTGGAGGGCTACGAAGGGATTGAGGTGCTCTTGGGCTTCAATGAGGGCGACGTTTACAACGAGCTGAAGAGGAAGAGCGATCAGATCAAGGCAGAGGTAGAGGCTGTGCGACGGCAGCATGCTCCCCAGGTGAAGTCCTCTTGCATCCTTTGATGTTCCACCGATTTTGTCGAACAGATTGCCAACCAGGGGAAGGTGGGCCAGGACGTTCCCCGCGAAGAGGCGAGGGGCTCGAAGACTGTAGGAGAAGATCCCTGAAGCTGCTCCGATGCTGACGACTTGAATGTCAGGAAGGTCCAAGGAGCGGAGATCATGGTCATCAGTCCGACGAGCGCGGGAAGAGCATTGGATCGGAAGAAGGAAAACAGCAGCTGGACGCGAAGGACAAGGATCAGCACGAGAGGGGCAAGGAGGAGGAGCAGAAGCGCCGAGACTATGAGACGAAGCAGAAACAAGAGCATGCCGAGGCCAAAGTTCAGGAAGCTCAGCAGCACGATCAGAGGGAGGGTCAACTGCAGAAGGACTCGAAGGATACCAAGGCTGAGCAGGGGAAGCAAGAGGAGCAATCGGGAGAAGGGAAGCAACAGGGCGCAGGGAGTGGATCTGAGGTAGTATATGATGATGCCATGCAGTTCCTGACCTCCTGCTGTTGAAAGATTCCCAAGCAGCACAAGGTTGAACAACCCGAGCAGGTCGACTCTGACAGCAGCGAGAGAAAGGGTCCTGACTCTTCTTGCAGGCTGCCCATGACGCTGCAAATGGTTCAACGCGTTGACGTCGAGTCTTAGTCTGACTGATGCTTGCAGCTGCTCACTCTGATCAACCTGTGAAGGCACTCGAAGAGGGGTCGACTGTCAAGAAGAGTGACGACACAGGGAAGGCAGGTGAACAAGCACCAGGAGCCGTTAAGACAGGAGATGCCAAGGACGAGAACAAGGTCAAGGAAGGCGTTGCTGCCGGTGGCGAAAAGAAAGGAGACTCTGTCTCTCAGTCGGACTTGCAAGCAGCGAAAGCAAACTTTGATCTTTCGAAAGTGGCACTATTGGTTATCACGACTTCCTCTCATGACATCAACGACATCTCGCAGACTCTCTCAACACTGTTTGAGCTCCCAGGGGTCAAGAATCACGACATCTTCATCGCCCAGGACTCGCAGCATGGCAAGCTGAGCTCCGTCATTCACAAGTATGTTGCAAAGGGACTGGCACAAACCATCATGTACACCGAAGCGAACGAGCACAACCTGCGAAAGCGGCACTCCAAGCTTCAAGTTCATTCGATCAAGCATGTGCTTAGCTTGCCGAAGCAATACAGCGACATCCTGGTGATTGGAAACTCGATGAAGTTTGCTCCGGATGTCTTGGATTTCTTCTACGCCTCCGCTCCTCTCCTGCAGCTCGACCGGTCTCTCTGGTGCGTCTCGGCGTTCAATGAGAATGGCCTCTCTCACTTCCACTGGGACGAGTGGCGGCTCCTGCGCGACTCCTTCTACTCGGGCGTGATGTCGCTGATGAGCCGGGACGCATGGAAGGAAGTGATGGGTCAGCAGAGCGTGCATGGGGAGCCGGGCGACTGACTTGCTCCCTCGCAGACAAGTGGGAGCGAGCTGACACGGCAGAGGTGTTCGACGAGTGGATGAACTTGCAGGACGTGAGGATGGGGAGGGACTGCATCGTCCCAGAGGTATCCTTGACGGCCTCCCTCCTCTCATCGTTCATGGCGTGAACCCTCCAGGTGTCTAGAGCCAAGAGGCAGCATCCCTCCCCTGAGGTGCACGACCCCTTCTCGGTCTGCCCCTCCCTCCCTCAGGGAGCTCGTGCGCGTCAGGCTGACGGAGGTTCCCAGGGTCTCTACGACTCCATCGCCCTCGCCAGCTCTCAGCCCAACTCTCAGCTGTGGGGAGACTTGAGGTGGAACAAGCTCCTTCTCGCTCCCCTCCCCTTCCAACCTGTGCCTCTTGCAGATACTTGCTGCAGCCCGAGTATGACCGGGTCATCCTGTCGCTCATCCACAACGCCAAGGTCCTGCCCGAGCATGAGAACTTCCTGCCCCTCGCATCGCACGCGAGGTAGCGGCCGGACTGAGAGCCATGACGAGCGGAGCTGACGCGAGGGGCAGGATCCCCTTCGTGAAAGTCATCAACGAGCACAACCAGCACGCGATCCTCAGGTCGCTGAAGGTCTGCTGCTTCCTCCTGCTCTACCCTCCCGCTGACCTCCGACCCTCAGCTGACGGGAACCGTCGCCGGGCAATACAGGTAGGAGCGCCGTAGCGTCCCCTTCCTCCATCTCGTTCCTCCATCTCGTTCCTCCATCTCGTTCCTCCGTCTCGTTCATCACCAGTTGACGGCCTGGCGTCGCCAGGGGTGTGACGATGCTGAAACGAGAGCGAGACAGTCCAATCCTCCTCATCCGGCATGACTCGTAGGCCGCTTCCTCTCCTCTCGAGCCCTGCTGACCCTCTCCGATCCCCTCCAGGCCCTTCATGAGCGACGTGAAGCATGCATGATGGAAGGACGCAGCTGACGGTTCACCACCGACTAGTTTATTCTTTTCCCTAGGGCGTTTCACGCATGTGAAGTCGATGCTCCTGCCCTGCACCCACTCGTGCTCCCGCACCCTCCCTCCCTCTCCTCTCCTCCGTCCGTCCGACCGCGTCCTCAATTCACATCCCTCACCGTAACTGGCATCGCTCCATACATCGCTCATGGGCCCTCCACTTTCTTGTTCAGTCATTTTCGATCCCCCCGCCCCCCTCCCCGTGACTCTCGCGTCATCGACCATCTTCCCTTGCCTCCTTCCCTCCGTCTCTCCTCCTCCAATCCCTCTCCCTTCGTTTCCAGTCCCTATGTTTTGGCACCTCCCTCCCTCCCTCCCTCCCTCCCTCCCTCCCTCCCTCCTTCGCTCGCTCGCTCGCTCGCTCGCTCCCACTGTCCCTCTGTCCCTTCTCCTTCCCACTCACTCACTCACTCACTCACTCACTCACTCACTCACTCACTCACTCACTCACGCTGCTTCCTCCCCCCATCCCCCCCCTCCTCCTCCCTCCCTTCGTCCCTCCTCCCTCCCGCCATGGTTCCATATAAACAATTTCAAGGGGTCGCAGGTCAAAGTCAACAAGCCCTGGTGGGGGGGACGATGGGGATGGGGATGGGGATGGGGTTGGCGGCGCTGCTGCTTGTCGCTTCATGGCAGCAGACGAGCGAGGGGAGAGTGCTGAGGAAGGAAGAGGTGAGGGAGACGCTCTTGCTCGTGCGCTTGCTAACGCCATGCAGCTCATCTCCAGCGAGTCTCCTCGACTGGTGCGGGAGCATCCTGGGGATCCGATGGCCTGGTTCGAGCAGGTGAATGTGCTGTTCAAGGCTGGAGACAAGGGGAAGGCAGCTGATCTCCTGCACGATGCCTCCCTGGCCTTCCCCGGGCAGCCTGACCTCGCCTTCAACCATGCGTTCGTGCGGTATGAGCTCGGGGAGTACGAGACGTCGGTGCGCGTCCTCGAAGGCCTTGCAGGCCTGGGAAGAGGAAGGAAGGAGAAGAGAGATAAGAGGGCGAGGGACACGCGGGACAAGGGGGGAAAGGAGGTGAAGCAGGAAGGGAAGGAGGAAGGGAAGGAGGAAGGGAAAATGGTGGTGGAGGAGGATACGGGAATAGCCCGTATGGAGGAGACGCCGAAGAAGAACTCGTCAAGGGCTGACGCTCTACGAGACGTGGAGCCCAAGTGGGTTGACCTGCTCATCAAGTGCTACGTCAAAGTCGGACGCGTCGGCGATGCCGTCCGGCTGACGGACAGGCAGGTGGCGCTGCTGGGGAGCTCGGAGCAGGACCCCCTGGTCCGTGCTCGCGTCGCCCTCACTGTCTACCCCTGGCGCTACGGGTCGGCGAGCTGGAAGGATCTGGGCCGCCACTACAAGGAGCTGGTGCGAGCGGTGGAGCTGACGCTGGGGATGTCGGAGGAGGAGCTGGAGAGGGGAGGGATCAAGATGACCCCTCATAACTCGCTCATCTTCCTCGGCAACGAGCTCGGCAGCCAGGTCGTCGAGCGGCACGTCAACCAGTCCTACGTCTCCTCTCCCGTCAACGGCACGTACGCCAGACTCCGGACGTGCCCGACGTGTAAGTACCAGCCGCAGCTGCGGATCGGGTACCTGCTGTGGGAGGTGAGGGAGTCAGACGTCCTCTACAGCCTCCTCGCCGGGGTCTTGCAAGAGCATTCGCGGCAGTCGGACCCTCCTCAGGTCCGAATCTACACGCTCACGCGCCGCCCTCCCCCCGACCGCCTCCTCTTCCGCGGTCGCTCCGTCTCCTTCATCTCCTTCAGCGGCGTCGGGGGCAGGCAGGCGGCTGAAGTGATCAGGAGGGAGAGGACAGAAGTCCTCCTCGACCTCACCACCTACGGGGACTTGACAGGAGCGCACATCCTCCAGCACTTGCCCGCACCCTTGCAAGCAGGTGAAAACCCAGCTCTCCTCTGTCTCAGCTCTCCTCCTCCTCCTCCTCCTCCTCCTCCTCCTCCTCCTCCTCCTCCCCCTCCCCCCCTGCTGCTTCCAAATTCCCTCCCCCCTTCCTCCTTTTCCCTTCTCTTCCCCGCCCTCTTTCTTCAGCTCTACCCCCAGCTCTATCCCAGCTCACCTTCCATCTACTCGTCAGCTCTCGTCTTGTCAGGGAAGTCACCGGGGATGCTGGCTGGCAGGTTTTCTCGGCTATCCTG